CGTGGGTCCGTGTGGGTGGTGGGGTGGCTGTGGGTGAATTGAGGATGTGTATGTGTGTGTGTGTGAGTGTGTGTGTGTGTGTGTGTGTGTGTGGGCGGAGAAGGGCACTAAACACTGTCGCTCCAATCCGATCAGGCGATGAAAACATTTTCCTTTGAAGCGATAGTTCTATATTCTCTAGGAATGGTGAAACCCGTGTGAATGTGCGCTCCTTTCGGGTCATTTGTATTGACGATGTTGAAGAGAAAATGACAAGCGCAGACCTTTTAATGAAGAAGCGAGGAGGACGAGTGAAAGAGTAACGTTTAACGGTGACAGTGTTGACCTAAAGAAGACGAAGCACCGCAGTGTCTATGAGCACAGTCAGCTTTGCAATTCTCGTACTATCGTGAGAGAAATGCAAACCCTTTGTGGCCATTGTGTCTCGCAAATTGTGCTCAATAAAAGCACGTCAGGTCTGACTGAGAAGCATCGACAAACAAAAATGTTCTTCGACCAAGAAGATTAACATATACACACAGACACCCTCGGCCTGTGTTTAACTTGAGGCCGCTCCCGCAACACCTGCAGTATGTGTGTCTAAGGAGGGACAGAGCAACATTGAAACTTTCGCCTGTGTTTAACTTGAGGCCGCTCCCACAACACCTGCAGTATGTGTCTAAGGAGGGACAGAGCAACATTGAAACTTTAAAAGGCTCGACGGTCCCAGCGGGATCGTAATAGAAAACAAAAACCTGTTCTAGTGTTCGTGTTGTGGCGTCATCACGGTTGAATATACTTTTCAGTCATGCGAGCGTTACAAAAAGTAAACTGCTGTTACCTTTGATGACAAGTGATGGAAATGTAATGTGATGTGGAGAGGAACGTTGAGGGAGGGAGAATTCAGCCAAACAACATTGCCTGCTGTCACTGAAGCGTAAAAAGAAGTAATCCAGAGTGGACCCAAAAGAAAAAAAAACCTTAAAAACAGTCACCATTAACTGTGATGATGAATGACGGATGCATTCCTGAATACAGACAGAGCGATTGCTTAACACGGAACGTTAATTTGCAAGTATGCATTGTCGGAGTGTGCATGTCTCCAATAAATAACATATCCTTTATTTGTCCCACACTGGGGAAATTTACAGTCTCCAGCAGCAAGATTGTGGGTAGAAATAAGAAAGGAGAAAAACAAAGTGTTTGCATTCACAGATAGAGATAAGGTGGCTGTGCTAGTTACAATTGTTTTTCACATCATTTTATTTTTTTATTCAGCAGCCTGACAGCAGTCGGTTGGAACGAGCGGCGGTATCTCTCCTTCTTGCAGCGCGGGTGTAACAGTCTCTGGCTGAAGGAGCTACCTAGTTCTGTCAGGGCGGGCTGGTGGGGGTGGGAGGGACTGTCCATCATAGCTTTTAGCTTAGCTAGCATCCTCCTGTTGCCCACCTCCTCCAGAGTGTCTTGGGAGCAGCCCAGGACAGAACTAGCCCTCCTGACCATGTTGATGATTCGATACATACCGAGTCAATAGTGTCCGATATAACTCAAAAACAGTACCGTACGTTTTCAAATGTAACGATTTAGTTTGATTCAGTGGGATTATGATTCATTTCAAAGATGTGTGGCTGTAGTTTTGGTCATGTTTTTTTTTTTTTTTTTTGTGATGTAACATGTAAAAGCTTTCCAAAGCCCAAACTCTAAGTGAATTAAATTCAAAGAAAGTACAACTGGTCAACAGCAACGTTGAATCAGAGATGGCTTTATGTGTCAGTGTCACTCAACATATGTTTGACACCGATTTAAAAAAAAAAGTCTCCAATTTTTTTTCTGCCACAGGATTTTGTGATTTTTAATTTTTTATTTTAACGTGTAAGTTTGACCTATAAAAGCATTTCAGCATATGAGGTAAATTATAGCAATGACATTTCAGAAAAAAAGCACGCTGAACCTACCTATATTACATATTATTATTATTACTATTATTTATTATTATTAAAACCTCATGTGCTAGAGAAAAACCGAGGGCTTATTCGGAAACACCCAAAAAATAAATAAAATAATGTAGAAAGATTTGCATGCATCTCTGAAAAAAAAGTATTAAATTGTGGACCAGTGTTGTATTGTTGCATTGTATTTTCAAAAAGCATTAAAGGTTATGGTTGGACCTTATTGTGACAAAGGGCTCTTGTCAAAAGGTGCCCCGTGGTCAACAAAACTTGTTTCAGTTCGTGAGCACTGCAAAGCTCGTTACGGTGATGGAAGCCTTTGATAAGTCGAGGCAGAGATAACCTAATTTCATTGGTCTGCTTAATGACATGGCCAGACGATTATCTTTTGTAATAGGAAGGAAACAAACAACGTCGCGAGATTTGCCCAATATGTCATTATGATGACCTAAAACAAGACAAAACTTACATAAGCAGAGGACAGGACAGTGGTGTAAAACCGCAGAAATGTAGAAGTGGCTTCTTTCCCGCGATGACGCCTTTGCTAAAGTACTTAAGTTGACATTTGATGGCACTTTAAAATCAAGCAGACAAACAGACATTTATCACAGTATAATGGGCCCCGTGTTAATTGTCTGAAAGAGATCCTTTGGGAGGATGTTGTTTGCTAACTGCTGTTTATGTGCTGCAATTATGCTGGCTTTGGCCTCACCGCTTAAGTGTTCTGTCGTGTGGGTAATTGTACCAAAGGACAGCGGAGCGGGTCGAGGATCTCATTCAATTCATTTGCACTTTTGCTTTCAATTGATTGATGCGTGGAATGAAATTAAGCCACATCAATCGACATGTGTAGAATGATTCTCCAACAGGAAAATCCCAATGGGAAAGTCTCAAAGGTGGGCCATCTACCTCCTTTGGAAGACTTTGGTAACGTTAAAATAGACTGAGATATGTACTGTACATGCATTTTATTTAGGTTTTAATTGAAGGGGTCATCATTAAGGCCAGATCCAGCTTTCCACATCATTTGACGTAGCCTTGCTTGCCTCAACTTTTTGGTGACTTCTGCAGAGTCAACTCTCGTTATTCGCAGAGGTAAGGGACTAAAACCTGCAGAGCAAAGATTCGCAAATAACATTCAATTTGTACTTGCCAATATAAATACCGGTAGTTCAAAGCCTAATTGAAGACGAAACGTTGACTCCCAAACTCTTTCATCCTCTGGCCTTGTTCAGTTTTACACCTCATTCAATTTTATGTGGCAAATTTTAGCATAGTCTATTATTTTTCTGGTTTTTCCTGTTTTTTATTTATTTATTTATTTTTTACTTTTAATGGCATAACGTTTTTCCACTGACATCAGTTCTTGTCAATAGTATAACTATCCATATTTTTGTTGTTGTTGTTGTAACCTTTCAGAGTCTAGTTTTATTCGCGGCAATGCACATGTTGTAAAATACACCTAAAAAAGTGACATTTCTATGCATTTTTAGTACATATATTCTTCCTATACTGTATTTCTAATAGTATGGTGCATAGTTGCTATTCACCGGGGCTTGGGACCAAACTCAACCATGAATAGCGAATTGTCTCGACTCATTTAAATGTAAACATCTGGTAGAAAACATGAAGTAAAAAAAAATAAAGAAATGAAATGTTACATTTGAAATGTCACTCATTTCCCACACATTATATCATTTAATACAATTGAGAACATAGAATTGAAAAAAAAAATTGGCTTTCAGGCATTTTAACTGGCCAAACGTGGCCACGATAGAACCAAAGGAAAGAAAGAAAGATATATTGTAAAGAGAACTTTATCTACATATCAAGAGCTGACATTGTAAATAAGAAAATTCCCACACTTGGGAAGTTTCATTACATTTGCCTGAATGTGGCTAATTATCTCCCCACAAAAAAAAAAAAAATACTGGGTTATTTTCCCAACCCTCTCGCTAGTAGATAACTGTGGATTTTGTGCAGATTGGGTTACCAAGGTTGGCTCAGTTGTGTTGACCCAGGAGACTGGGTCACATATCGATGATCAATTGATAAATATGTATATACCAGTTCAGGTATGATATATAGATTTGCATATACCAGTTCAGGGTGAACTGCCCAAAGACAGGTTGAATGGGCTCCAAATCGCCCGCGACCCTCGTGAGGACAAAGCGGTTCAGAAAATGGATGGATGGATTTTCTGTGATTATTGATGCGGTTTCACCCTGCTCTATTTTCTGTAATGGTGCACCCACCTCTCCGCTGTCCACCAGGGGCTCCAGAGTGATGATGCCTTTACTTTTGCTCTCGTTGTCGCTCAGCAGGTCATCCTCTGATTCCACCGCAGAGGAGCCGGTGGAGGAGACGGAGGAGGTGGACAGCTTCCTCCGCAGGCTCCCGTCCACCGCTTCGCCTTCCTCCCAGTCCTCCTGCTTCATCTCCCGCGAGAAGCCGCCCCCATCCGGGGTGATGGTCACTTGTGGTACTCGATGTGCGTCCATCACACTTCCGAACGCGCTCGCCGGTTCAATTCGCTCGACACACTGTGGGAGTTCATCGCAACTCTGTAGGAAGCGCTTGTCAAAAAAAAAAAAAAGTCAGACCCGAATCATTGGAGTTCCTACACTCTTTTGGGTAACATTGAACGCGTCGTCGCAGAGCAAGACAAAGACTTCGAGGCTCGTGCTGCCTTCAGGAGCTTCACGCTTGTGAGGAAGCTTTTTCAGTATTCAAACAGTTCAACCCACACTTCCTCGTTGCTTCTGTGCAAGAGTCATCTCCGCTGAGTTGTGTGCTGGTGCACGAACCGCGTTCATGTGGTTCACGCCTGCGCACTCAATCCAAAATTATGTACAGTGCGGGCGAGCAAACTTTTTTTGTAATTAAATAATGAGGAATTCTGTCTTTAGTCACACTTATTTTGATCCAAATAAATTAATACAAACAAATCATAAAAATACCAAATGAATACAGTCCTGTATATGCTAAATATGTAAAGTAGTTACTTTTGATAAAATTATATATTCTCCTGTTTTATTTCATTGTTTCATAAAATACATAGACAATACATATGGTCGTGATTTTTACAAACATAGTTTTATTAACAGTGAATTAATACATTTTTGATTACATAAATTCATAAATAATAGTTAGGTACTTTATTCATAAACGGTAATTCTCTCTTCTAGTAATTGTGCCAAATATGAGGTTTTATTATTCCTATTTTTAAAATGTAGTCACGCCGTTATTACGGATATTAGTAACAATCCAAGATTCATTGTACTGTATTGTTTTGTTAATAAATAATTTCGACATATACCCACGCCATCCTATAGATGGCAATAATATATGATCTCACATTTAGCCACGCGTCTATACGTGGCGTAGAAGAAAAGCTTCGTCAACTGAGGTTTGCCCTACAGTTGCAAAAGTAAGACCTCCAGTGTTCCGGCAATAGAACGCTTCTCTCGAGTTCTCTCCGTGGACGCTCGCGTTTAATCCTCTCCATCCGTTCACTCATCGAAGGGGAACGCCATGTTTGCTGTCAGAAAATCTCTCCGCCTCGGTTCGAAGCTGTTGGTGCCCTTCGTGTCTCGGCGAGGATGCGCTGGACCTGCCATCCCCGTGGACGATGTGGTGAACGGGCTGACAGACGAACAGATCCAGGTTAGCCACACGGGTTAAGGTAGCGCCACCAAATGCGCAATTTTGCTGCAGAGAATTGGCTACTTTTAACATTTTGCGTCTTGTTATATTGGCAATAGGAGACGGTCCGCGTGACAAGATTACATAACAGCTAACTACAGTAACATTACATACTTTGGAAATAGCCGACATAGCACAACGCTGTTGCTAATTTGTATTTTATTTGCATCTCTGCTTAAAAAATATTGACCAGTGTTATCTCTGAAAGTCTTATTTTTTGTTTTATACACTATTGTCTTGTAGGATGCATGTGTACACTTAACCTAATGTAAAATCTGGAAACACATTCTTTTAATTTGACACCATACCACCTTGTGTGGTCCTCTGCTGTTGAAATAAAGGGACAAAATGAGAAAATGTGGTTTCTTAATAATTTTTGCCAAATTGTCACAAGTCAGTGTTTTTTTTCCTTTGTCTTGCACAGCTCAGGCAAAGCGTTCGTAAATTCTGTGCAGAAAAACTTGCACCCCATGCCGACGAGATAGACAAGAAGAATGAGTTTGCTGGAATGCGGGTGAGTTTCAGTGCTTTTAGAGTGTATGAATATTGGAGCGATGATACTGAGCATAACGACACAACTTGTTGGCACGCTGCGATTAGTTTATTGTGTTGTGTTGCCAGGAATTCTGGAAAGACATGGGAGCGATGGGGCTGCTTGGGATAACTGCACCAGGTTCATCAATTATTATTCAACTTCTTTTAATAGTTTTTATAAAATTTACCATGAAGGGAACTTCATTGGGTATTTTTTTGTTCGTTTGTTTACGTTTATTCTTTCTTGACTTTTTCCTCTCTGTGTGTCTTCCAGTGGAATACGGAGGCACTGGATTGGGCTACCTAGACCACGTCATTGTTATGGAGGAAGTCTCTCGCGTGTCAGCGGCCATAGCTCTCAGCTACGGCGCTCACTCCAACCTGTGCGTCAATCAGATGGTGCGCCACGCCACCGAGAAGCAGAAAGAGAAGTACATGCCAAAGGTCCGTACACGGGTGCACACTGGTTAAAGAATGGCTTCACAAAAGAAAGTTAATGTTCATCTGAAATTTGCGGTTTATTTGCAGTTACTGACAGGAGAGCATGTAGGCGCTTTAGCCATGAGTGAGCCAAACGCTGGCTCTGATGTCGTGTCCATGAAACTCAAGGCGAAGAAGCAAGGTAAGTTTGCTCAGGGTCGAATCTTTGACATTTCAAAGGAAACTCAATTTTTCTCCAACAAATGTTGTTTTCATCATAATACTGTTGGCTCATTGTGCTGAGCTTTGAATGGAAAAAGAGAAATCCCGATTGGCCAATGCATATTACTGAGTGCAGGGAAACAAATTACAGCGTTCCCTCAGTAGCGTTGGGGGAAATGTAACGATAGACTACAGATTTTAAAATTTTTGAAATGATCTTTCTGCTAAATCTGGTGCAAGCGTCTCTTTGTCATTTTGATATTGATTAAGGTATGTTCACATTGTCCATTAACTAAAAAAATGATGTACGATATAAACAATATAGAATTAACTCATAGAATAAACAGTTTAGATTGACAATTTATATCGTTGTAACGCACAACTGTAGTCCTAAATTCAACACACTGCCTCACTTTTTAACATTCTCATTCATGTTGAGTACATGTAGAAATAACTGAATCACATAAAAACAAAGTTAGCTGCTTTAAAAGTAAGTCTTTTTATTTGACAACCCTCTGCCATACATTGAAATGCTGTAAAAAATCCCAAAGAAAAAACTAAACATGTAGAGTTCATCCTTCTAATACTTGCATTGAGTTACTTCTCGTGGCATTTTATGCGCGGTCTTGTGTTGCCAAAAAAAAAAAAAAATCTATCTATCCATCTATCTATCCATCTATCTATCTATCTATCTATCTATACCAAGAATGAACCATTGTCATGCTTGTTAAACTGCAGACATCTTTTGTCATCTATCTATCTATCTATCTATCTATCTATACCAAGAATGAACCATTGTCATGCTTGTTAAACTGCAGACATCTTTTGTCATACATGACGCTAGTGCAACTTAAAGTTGAAATTGTTTCGAACTACTTTTCAATTGTGCGACTTCAAGAGTATTTGATGTTCGAGATTCCACTTAAGTCTGTGTGCTATATCAAGGCCCGCTATATCACAGATTTTTTTTTTTTTTTTGTGGACTGTATCCACCTGTCTGTCACGGAAATTTCTTCTGAATTGGGGAAATCTAGTTAATAACGATTGTTTTTCCAATAATTTTTTTTTTTTTACAGAACACCTATTTACTGTGAAACCATCGCCTGTGGGAAAGGATACCCACATTGGCACACTGGTGCACTTTTCACTCCTTCATTGTATGACAACTGCTTATCTCTAAAATTTATTGTACCCCAGGTGACTACTATATTCTGAACGGTAACAAGTTTTGGATCACAAACGGACCAGATGCCGACGTCCTCATTGTATACGCCAAGACAGACCCAGAGGCCTACCAGAGAGGCATCACTGCTTTCATTGTTGAGAAGGTGAGTCAGACCACGTTTATTAAGTGCAACCAGTATTTTTGATGCAATCACCGATGCTGTGGTGGTCCTCACACTTCCATGTGGTTCTGTCCTGTAGGGGATGCCAGGTTTCTCCACAGCACAAAAGCTGGACAAACTGGGCATGAGAGGGTCCAACACTTGTGAGCTGATCTTTGAGGACTGCAAAGTCCCAGGTGTGCGTCCAAGAAGCATATGCTGTATAGGAGAGAGAACAAAGATTCTGTTTTTTTAATCATGCATGTTATTTTTTAGAGAAGAACATCCTGGGGCCATTGAACAAAGGAGTTTACGTGATGATGAGCGGTCTGGATCTGGAGAGGCTGGTACTTTCAGCTGGACCTGTTGGGTCGGTACTTGATTGGTGAAACCTAAATGAATTTGATGTTGTGCATTAATATATCGATGAAATCTACATGCATTTAACAGAATTACTTCTGTTCAGCATCATGCAGTCCGTTTTGGACTCTGCAGTTCCCTACCTACACGTCAGAGAAGCTTTTGGAGAGAAGATTGGACACTTCCAGGTTGATGCATTTTTGTCTTTATCTGGAAGGAAGAAAACACTTCAGTTGATCACGTAATTTGTTTGAATCTGTCTTTGAATGAAATAAACCCAATATTTTCTCCCAACAGCTGATGCAAGGCAAGATGGCTGACATGTACACCAGGTTGAGCTCCTCTCGGCAATATTTGTACAACGTCGCCCGGGCCTGTGACAAAGGACACTTCAGTGCCATGGTCAGTCAGCCTTTCATACTTCTTTTGGAACGTTTGTACACTCGTCATCTACAATATTTGGTACCCCTGCACAAAGTAATGGAATCGAGAGTTCTACATCAATGAAAACTACAAATATACAAACATGTGAATTACTGTTTACACGAAGGCCAAACCCAGCCCGCTCCATCATTTTATGTGGCCCCTGAAACCAACATTTGTCAATATTTGATAAATAATAACATTGACATATTGCAAGCTTTTTTGGCAACCTGTTTAATACCGTGAAACAACCTCCTGAACTCATTTTCCTGTAATTATGCCCATGTGAGTAATCTGCAGCAGAAGTGACAATGATTGTTGCTTTGTGTTGCCATGGCAGGACTGTGCCGGAGTCATTTTGTACTGCGCTGAGAACGCCACCAAGGTCGCGCTAGATGGCATTCAATGTTTGGGTGAGTCATAAGACCTCTGCTTTTTCATTAACAATCAAGGAATCATTCTGTATTTGTGGAGTGTGTGAATTGTGACCGACTACGAAGGGGTTACTCGAATAAAATATTTTACAAATATTTTGCGCATGAATGTATGACAAACTTAAACTGGAGGAGAGGGAGATGTTTTTCTTCACACAAAACACAAGAGGTGGGTGAAGAATGAACGTGACATTTCACCGCTGACGTTTTTAGTCATCGTTAAATAAATAAATGGAAGAGAGGCCAAGGCTTCACAACAACTTAAATGATAGTGCTGCACTTTGTGTGTTAGTAGTACGTTGTGACATTTAAGGCAGTGTGTAGAGCGCTGACAACCCTCCACATAATGCCATGTACGTTCACAGCTTCAGCCGCGTGCAAGCAAGAG